TTTCCTTTTGCTTGAGGGGTACCTACGCTGAGGTGCAAATTACAAGCTGGTGGAGTGAAAGAGGAGGGCGGTGGAGCAGTGGATTGGTTCAGTCTGGGAGAATAGAGAGCTGTGGGAAAAACAGGATCTAACAGTCACTGGAGCAGCATGGGGGAGAGCTCCTCTGGGAATTTACTTTCATTTAAAAAAATGTCTTTTTCCCCAAGTTGTGAAATTCAGGAATTGACGTACATGCTAGGAAGATAGTAGCAATTGTAATTTTCTTTATACCCTGTGAAAATGTTATGTAAATATATTGTGAAAATTCATAAAGTCCATAATACTAATTGCCCTATTAGATCATGGTCATGTTTTTTACATTTATTCTTTACTAGCTAAATTAAATGGTATCTCTATACATTGTATTAATAAAAAATAAAAGGTAGATAAAAGATTACAAATAAGAAACTATAATATATAAAGCTTCCCAAGAAGTAGCAAATTAAGCAGTTCTGCATCTTTCCTGGTAGAAAATGGGGCAATCTATTTAAATTCTGTACTATTCTAGAAGGTTGTATAGGTACTCAATAAGTAAATATAACTTTAGATACTTTGGTTTCAAGTTGCAAATGATTTTAGCAAAACTAGTGCTGTAAACAGTTCAATGATAGATACCTATTCAGTTTGGTATTTGCTTGCAGACAGTAATTAACAGTTCAGTGTTTTTCTTTTAACTGCATACCCATAAGTAGGCATAATTACCACTAATCAAGACCCCTAATCTCAAGCAATTATAAGATCTTACATTGTTCTAATTTCACATTTAGAAACAAGGTGGTTTTCTCATATAATTATGTTATAATCCATACAATTTTTAGTTTCTGCTTTTCTTTTTATCTGATCAATGTTAATTTTCTGTGACCTCACAACATGTTATCTGAAAAATACCTTTGAGGCATGCAATTTTTGTGGTTAATTTATGGTTATGTTTCGTATTCAGTGAGAAGTGATGCAGTGCAACAGGTTTTCAAGGCTGCGCATTCTCTCAGCCATCTATAAACTCAATAATTTGTTGTAAACTGGGAACTTGTTAGTGAAACAAAACTGCAGTTATACATTTAAATCACCTGCTGTTTGTAAATCCAGGTGCTTACTCTTTTATGCTATTTAGGTTAGCACAAGCTGCTACCTAAGTATGTAAAAAGGGTGTGTTTTGGTGTTTTTTAAATAGTTAAGAGGCACTTCCATGCAGATGGACAGACTGACTTTCTGCATCAGCTTTCCAGAAAGTGAAAAGAAGGTAGTTCAGTTTTAGAAAGTAGTGCAAGTCCTGGGGGCAAGATGTAAGTGGTCCTTCACTAGTTGATGTTGTTCTCACTTGTTGCTGCATAGTTCTTATGCACACATTTTGTATGCAAGAGCTTTGGATGAGTGCATTTTGAACAAATCATCATCAATCTGATGATTCATCTCAGGAACCGCATGCAGCACTTACATCTGTAATTGGGGTAATTGCAAACCTCTCATTCTTACAGATAGAAATTCTTCCTTTTATAATCTAAAATCAGATCCCAGATCTTTTACTGTGGTAGCTGAGACCTACACTGACTTGTATTTATTTCTCTATTCTTATTTGTTACATCATTAAAAGTAGCAGATGATTTGGTGACCTTTCCAACCTGTATCTGACCTTCATGATTCACTTGTGCGGGTAATTGGCTATTGAAATTACTATGCTTTTATCTTTGACGTTATTTAAACACTGGTTTAAATGGGGTGACACAGACTGCATTGTAAATAGGTAGCCACATTGTTGGGGACAATGTGTTTTTCTTTATCTGTTGTCAGAAAAGAATATTAATGTTGGGCAGGGGGCTCTATCTTTTCTGAGGGATCATGACATTCATGGAGAGGAGGTGTTTGCTGTCTGCTTGATGTGCTGCAGCTTTCTGTGCAGCGTTAAACCAGGCTATTGCTTGTTCTGCAGAAAAAATTTCTCCATGGTTGCTACAGGCACAGTTCCTTAAAAACCACTGCACAGCCTTCATCCAGCTGATGCATCCAAGATTGCTGTGGGGGTCAGATTAATTTGTGACTTTTTTGCATGGGTGAACTTGTGGTCTGCCTTGAGTCAAATCCATCCCATTCAAGGACATTTCCTCCTTCCACCCTTTTACACCCCTTAAAATACTTCTCCTTAATTCCTGTGATCCCCTGCACATAGGACTGCTAAGGACTTGATAGATTCCATAGAGTCTGTAGGATAACACTACAAACTCTCGTCAAGGGCTCCAGGGACCTTTGGATGTTGGCATCTGACCTGCACTGTTGCTGCTACAAGGCAGTGGTCTAACATCAGGGTTCAATCAGTCTTGAAACAAGGATTTGGAGATTTTTGCTCTGTCATAAATTGCCCAACTTCCTCCCTGTAGTAGAGTGTGTGTTTCTGAAATCTTTCTGGGGCTGCAGTATACTGCAGTGAGTTCATTTCATTATTCCTTTGAAAATAAGGAAAAGCACGGAGCTAGCTATTTCTATGCAGAAAAGGTCAATGTTTAATATGCTAATGTATCTGCTCAATATTCAGCTGCAAAAATCCTTGGCTTTAATGTGTTTTTAATAGTAATAAAGTGGTTAGCTAATGATAAATTAAGGTTTGTAAGTTTGGGGATTTTTTAAAAAATAAAAAATTAATGTAGGCAGGAATAATTTTTCTTGCCAAGATAATTTTTATACTAGAGCATAGTAGCTGTATTTTGCAGTGGAAGGTGCTCTAGGACTGCTCACCTCATAATATTCAAAATGAAGAACCAAATTTCTGGGATTTTTTTAGACTTCATGTAGTTGGACGGTAATGACACAGGGCAAGGACTCCATTTTACCTTTGCTGGCATAGAGTTATATGTCCCAAGATACTGAACCAGCACGTCTCATGCTCCACCAGTGAGCAAAAGATAGTTTTATGTGTGCAAGTATGGTTGCTCAGAAATCTGCAGATAAGAATTTGCCCGTGACCCTCTTCTTAATCACCTATTTTCAGTGTTACACTGGCTGGCAGAATAATGATGTTTGTGGGCACCTCGTGCTGCTGCAGCATCCTGCCAGTGGGACTTGGCAGTTTTGGAGGGCCTGGGTTCAGTTTCTCTTAGGGAATCTGGTAAAAGTCCATATAAGTAGGGCCTAAGGTAGCATTATTGTAGGGTTGTGTTTGCATCTGCGTAACAGAGAGCAAACAGATGTAGTTAGGGAAAGGTAATGCTGTTCGAATACAAAATACTCATGGATTAAGGAGTATTTATAGTAAATCTGTTTTAAAGGCATTCCTTTAGTACTCATTACACTGGGCTTTCTGGTATGGTTTAGCCCAGGCACAAGTAAAGGTTAAACAGAGAAATAATCTATACATTTCTGGTCACTGCATCCTTAGTCATACTGTCCACTTTTTTGTTAAACTAAATTTACACATTTTTATATATATTTTTTCTACTCATCTGTACAGAGGGGCAGTTGGAAAAGGAGAGACGGTCTCTACAGGAATTCATAAAAAGAAAAGAAGTCATGTAGTGTCAAGTAGGAATTCTGTAGAGAATCAGCTGTGTAAAGGCCTTGAGCAAGTCTGAATTTAAATCGCGTCTCTTGATGATCAGGGAAAAGACAGTCCTGTAAGTTTCTTTTGCACGTTATCAAAGGTATTTTATTGGTCATAAAACCTTAAAGCATCTTATTTGGCTTAAGGGTGTCTGCCTGTAACACTGACCTGAATAAATAGCTGCATTCTCAAAGGAATGAGTGGGATGAGGAAATGAGGAATTTTATTTTTATTTTTTAAAAGAGGGGTTGAGGGAGGAAGTAAAGAGCAAAAAAGGGTTTTTAGGTAAGGTAAAATATTATCTTATCTTTTATAAATATGATTTGTCAAATATTTATTTTTATTTCTTGTTGAAGAGGTACTGACAATTTGGTGCCTGTTTTGAGGGACAGGAAATGATAAAGAGGAAGAACTTCCTCAGCAAGCCAGAGCATTTACTGGTGGTTGTCAGCTTATCTGCCATCTGACTGTTCCTCCTCTTCTACAGCCAGCCTTTCACTTATCCCTGATCTGATTCACAACATAGGAAAGCTCCTTTTGAGGCTTCCTGTCGTTCCCTTTCATTCCGGGCTGGATTGGCTGGAAGAGCCTCAGCCCCAGCCTCTGCAAACCATCAAAACATGACCATTGAGATTTCCACCAGCCTGCTGTTCTGTCTTGGGCTCTGGCAGGCGGATCTTCTCAAGTCCTGAGTGTTTTCATCTGCTTCTCTCCACACCTGGAAACATTGACTTTTTTTCTTTCTCATGTTTATTCTTCAACCCATCTTGATAAACCAGCTGGCTTCGTAACTATGCTGAATGAAGTCAGAACGGCTGTGCAGCATTTGGTCTGCGTTTGAGAGCTCTAGCTCTCGCCTCAGGCCTTGCTGTTCTTCTGCCTGAAGAGTATAAAATGTAGTGTGAGTTTTCATGTATTATTAAACTTACATCTATAAATCACTGACCCATGGTAGCTGTTTATTACGTATTCCATCTTCCGCTTTGATGCATTGTTGTTGTCACACTGAGGTGGGTAATGATGACTCGGCTTACTACTGTGGTAATGCACTTAAAGCTTGGAAATCTGTCACTGATGGCATTTCGACACAGGCACTATAAACCAGAGATGAAATTTTAACGTATTTGCTGTCAAGCTATTTGTCTTAAAGTTCCTGTGTCTTCTATTGTGGTTTTGTAAGGGTTTGGATACTAATGAGTTGTTTGATGGACGATGACCAATAGTTGTATTTCAGGAATTGTGCATTGCAGGACAAAAGAAGGTGGTGGTCCTTAATTTGTAGTACAGAAGGTGACCTATACCTTTCTTGTGGTCATCAGGCCTTCCTGATGAGGCACTGATATTACATGCATTTCTCTAGGCCTGGAATTTCCAGTCTTAAAGCACAGGCCTATTATGTTTTATATTTATTGTTTTTCTTCTTTTTTTACAGCCCTTCTGTATGCAACCATTTTTGGTAACGTGACAACCATATTTCAGCAAATGTATGCTAATACAAACAGATATCATGAAATGCTGAACAGTGTCCGGGACTTCCTAAAGCTCTACCAGGTCCCTAAAGGACTGAGTGAACGTGTGATGGATTACATCGTTTCCACCTGGTCAATGTCCAGAGGAATAGATACTGAAAAGGTAAGTAAATTAAACTGCAAGGAAACAAGTCACATCCTGAAAGTATTTAATTAAAATAAACAGGAGGTACTTTCTTAGTAAAGAAGACAAATATTCTTTAAATAGTTCCAAGTGGTAGCTTCCCTTAATTTTAAACTTTCAAATACACTATTTCACGTATTCTGTCATACTGACATATCTTAGTGGTAAAAGTTATGTATGTGTTGCTGGTGACATGTCGTGAAATAGTATAAAAATGAGGACAGAAAGAGCTTGTTTTTCAGTAAATAAAGAAAATGATTAAATAAAAAAACTCCCAAGTTCTAACATAACCTAAGAATTTCTTCAAATCAGATTGCTTGCAGTATTTCTGTTGTGTGAGGTTGTTTGCAGCTCTGTGGGCCTGAATGCAAAGTAAAATTTGTTTTGTCTTCGTAGAAATTGAACGTAATATTCTGTGTGCAGGTTAAAGATATTAATGAAAGCAGGAAGTCATTACTGTGATAATAATGTATTGTTTGAAATCTGCCTTATGTGAAGCAAATGCTATCATCCTAATTCATTGAATTTACAAGTACATTCCCATTGAGTCTTTAAAAATAACATATGGCCTTTCACCAGAACAAATGTACAAAAGCAACTTGCCACTTTCATATTAGTTGCCAGCTTTTATGGAGATAGATACTGCTTTTCTTCTGCTTGTAAAGAGATGTGATTTGTGTGGTGGTTCATTCAGGAAATCGTACCAAACCTCTGGTCACCAGCCTTCTGGTTGGCGGCTTAATTTAGTATTCTAAACTGGAGATGATGCAGTTAAAGAGCAAACAATCTCATTTCTGTCTAGCTGTTAAAGCATCATTATGAAAGAGTGGAACAGATGTGGCCTTGCACTGGGCTGTCTGGAGACCAGTGGGTACACAGGGTACTGTTTGCTTTCCTAAATGGTCGTCAGCATATCTGCCATTTAGATCCCAGACCATGATGCTGGGAGTGCTGTCCATCATACTAGCTTTCAGAAAGAAATGGTATTTTAGAACAGAGCAGTGCTGATTAGAAGCTGCTCTGCCTGTTTTCTCACAAAAATATCTTTGCACGGGGTTACAGGTTTGAGGTAGGTGCATCTGGGGAAGGTGGAGAGACAACATCTGAGGATGTATAGTGTAATGAATGCTGGTGCTTTCATTCACCCCCCAGTACAAGCTCCTTTCATCAGTTTTACAAAGCAACAAGAAAAAATTGCTATGTAAAACATGTTTGTTTTAGCTTATCTTCAAAGTTCATTCTTGGATTCCTCTGATAAGGAAAGAAATGCTTTAAGGGTGTATTTGGAGACAGCAGGATAATCAAACCAAGCACAGCTCACTGGAGAATTATCATTGAGAATTATCTTAAAATAAGATTAATATCAGGGGAAAAATCCTCTCCAATTGCCAGGATATCAAAGAGTTTAATATGGTGTTGATTTCAATAACTGGTGCGTTCATAGCTGAATTGCCAGTAGTGATGACTGTAAAACCAAGAAATCAACTTTCACCTGCATAGCAAAACCTAGCAGATGTAAAGATCTAAGACCGACTAATGGCTGTGCCAATCCATAAACTCTCAGGTCTGAGCTCCGTTGGTTTGATGCCGGTGTATAACTTCTAGGATGTCATGCAATGAATAAAACATGTATTGCTCCTGTGTCAGAACAGTGGTAGCTGTGCTGCTGTGTAATGCAGTGCAGCTTTCTACAGATGAGGCAGATATTTAAGGATGAACTTAGAGCCAAATCAATCTTCTCACTATTTTGTAGGCCACAAATTTGTCAATTCAGTGTTAACTGCAGGCATGCCAAGGAGTGAATAATCAGCTAAAAGCAGAGTCTGTAAGTCTAGAAAATGCCAGTATAACAAAATTTAACCAAGAGCTGCTGAAAGATTCTAAAATTAATTCATGAAGATCTGTTTCTTACTTCCCATACAAATGAAAGTCTTCTGCCATTTGTCTATAACTCTCAAATGTCTGTAATCCCTTTAATTGTGAAGTCTGGAGGCAACTTCTGTAAATGAAGAATGGAAAATAAGTTAACTTCCTCTTACCCTGGGAAACCAAGGTTTTTTTGGATGAGAGCCTCATTTTAAATATTCTCTTGTCTATTCAGGTTTTCTTACTAATATTTCTGTTACAACAGCCCTCTTTGTGCGTGATATTCAAGTAACGGTGAAGTGTGTGTGTGTCTGTAATTCCAATAGCGAACTTTGGCAAGCAAATGCAGAATGTTTTCGTTGCCAGAGTAAATGAAATAATTGCAGAGGCAGTTACTGCCGCTGCCTGTGCTCCATGTTAAATGCTGCTCTTGCTGCCCCAACCCTTTCCTGTGAGCCTGGAAAACTGAGAACTGGCAGGTTCAGCTGCTGCTCTCTGTGGGGCATCAGAGAGATCATCCATGAGTGCCCTACATTTAAGCACTACGGAAATTTATCTTTTTCAGAAGTAATATCTGTAATGGCAGATCTGCTTGGAGCTCAGCCAAAGATGATGGTGTTGATGGAAAAGCCATTTGCCTTTGGAGTAGCAAGCGTAGTGTCTGGAGGCAGCGCCGTGCACAGCGTTACGAGCTTGGTTCTCTTGCTCAGATCTTGCACAGAGCCCCATTGCATGGTGTAGGCATAGCCATAGTGCTTCCTACATTACATTTATGTTTTCCAGGAGTGTTTGCATTGAAGCAGCCATCTCTTTCCATCCAGGCAAAGGTGTGGGAGTGACTCTGAAGCTCACCCAGAGTGCTCCTTAATTGGATGGAATAGTTATTGCTAAGAAAAAAAATGAGGCTTGTACTAGTGTTTTTTTGGGTTGGTTTTTTTGTTTTGTTTTGTTTTTTCCCCAAATAATATGCTCTGAGATGTACTTCATCACAGACTTCTCCAAGGATTTTGTCATCCCAAACCCCTGTTTGTGTTATGTATTTCCAGTGTTTTTGCCAGGAACTTTTAGTCTGTACATGCAGTAGTAATTCTGTATTTTTTCCACTTGGCTGTCTGTATTATGTTTAAAACCTTCAGAAATGGCCCTGACTGGTACCTGCTGTGCAAAGAATCAGTTTCTATACCCATAGGAGCACACATCATGAATTGCTGTGAGGAACACTGCATTTGGAAGATCAAAAGTTTCCCAACACAGTGACATACCTTAAAGTCCTTTTCTTGTGTGACACAAAATTTGTTACTACTACCGAGGGGTGAATTTGAATACCTTCAATCTCAATATTATGAGTTAATGAAACTTCTAATAACTTTTTCCTTTGCTGAAGGGATATGAGATTACACTTCTCTTCCATACAATATTCTCTCACATGGAACATGTAATTTCTGCAGGCTTTTTGTGGAATCTGCTTATCAAAAGAGTGACCTACCCTCTAGAAACAATCCTTCAGGAAGGTTTTCTCCACCACGTTCTGTTCTGCTGTGCTCTCAGTTTTATTGTCTTAAAAACCTGAGGCCTTATTCTGGTAATTCAATATCCAGCAGAGCATGTTGCTGAGATGAAAACATTATTTTCCTTCAGGTGTTGTGAAGTTGACTAAGTTTGTATTGTGGCCTATGTATGTAAGTAGTATAAAAATAAATGTACAGACTGAGATTAGAAATTGTATAAGAAGGAGGAAAGTAGTTCTTAAACTCTGTATAATAAATTAGGCATAATAGGCACATATAAGCCATGCATAGGAATTGATTGCCTAATTTCCTTCTCAGGTTTTGCAGATATGCCCTAAGGACATGAGAGCAGATATCTGCGTGCATCTGAACCGCAAAGTTTTCAAGGAGCACCCAGCCTTCAGGCTGGCGAGCGACGGGTGCCTTCGAGCGCTTGCCATGGAATTTCAGACAGTGCACTGTGCCCCGGGAGACCTGATCTACCACGCCGGCGAGAGTGTTGACAGCCTTTGCTTTGTGGTTTCGGGGTCTTTGGAAGTAATCCAGGACGATGAAGTTGTTGCTATATTGGGTGAGTTTCACAGCTAATAATATGCATTGTGCTCTCTACAGATGCATAGAACATTTTTATAGCCTCTTCTACTCAAGCACTTAACGCATTCTTTAAAAAGCTTCAGTGAAGTTAGGTTTGCCACAGCCTTGTGAGGTATATTTTAATGAACTTGTCAGCTGTGTGGTGTTAGATGTTTACTGAATGGAAAAATCAAAAAAGAAAAAAAACCACAACCCTCTATGCAGGAGCATTGCATAGAGTCATTGACTTGTCCTTCCTGTTCCACATAGGTAAATAGGAAGGGCAATCATCTCATCTCCAGATTGCTTCAACTGTATTTCTTCTGGTCAATGGAATCTGTACTTGAGCATTGGGATCCTGGTCATTCTTGGGGTTTTCCCTGTCTCTATTTTCATTAGAAATTCCACTGAGGACTAAAGAAAACTTATTTTTAAAATACTTGGTTTCCTTGCCTCCCTCCTACCCCCCAATAATAATCCACTTCTGCTGAAATTTTCCAATTAGCATTATTTAAGATCTCATGTTGAAGTATTATTTACCTCTCTTACAGTCAAAGTAATATAAGAATCTAGATCCGATTTGTGTTAACTTGGAATGACAGCTTTAGGTTGGAAGCATTAAAAAGAAGCTGATAGTGGTGTGAACAACATTCTGAGGCAAAGCTAAGAGAAGAAAGTGTGATAATCCAATAGATGTAGATGAATCATGGGGTGGCTAAAGCATTGAGGAGGTGATACTTATCGTTTGATTCTGTCAGACTTTTTTGTGATAAGATAAATTCTCACGGTGGTTTAATCCAGTACCTGTCGTTCATAAGCCTGGAAAAAGAGAAGAAAACATCTTGGAAATCTTACTCTTTCTGAACACACACCCAACTGTCCAAAGAGGAGTGTTTACTGGAGAATGGGAGGGCTAATAAATATGCTGAGATCAGTTTTTCTCTACTTCTGCACAGGATTACATATATAGCATAGGGTGAATTTAGTGCCTTGGGGAATTAAGTTCATAGTATTTTGTGCCACACAAGAAACTAAAAAGGTGAAAAGTTGGGGGATAAATGATTCTCTTTTGTTCTGGAATCACCTGTGCTCTTCAGTGCTACATAATACTATCAGCTTCTGCTTACTACCTTTAACCATCTTGTGTTCTCATGAATTAACATGAAAAATATAGAACAAACTAAAGCCTCTCAGTTTGTGTCGCCTTTTATCCCATAATGTGTCCTTCTCTGTCCATCACAAGAAGAAAGCCTCAAAATATCTATTTAATCAGTTTAGCTAAAAAGCACTGAAATAGAATTTTTTTTAAATGTCCTTTAAAGATACCAATTTTCTCCTCATCTTTACCAGTAACTTATGTGTTTTATCATAATACTCACTTTAGGAAATGCTTAGCTTAGATTCCTTGAGAAGTCAGTGTTCAGGAAACCTAAACCCCTAATCTCTGTTCCTTGAGAGTGATAGCTACAGATAAATGAGGCTGATCCCTTGGTATCCAAATGAATAGGAATATTATGTTATTGCTGTTCTCCTGGGACAGTAATTATTGAACCTCTTCATACCTTGTTTTTTGGTTTTTTTTTTGAATTTGGGGTCAGTTCTCTGGCTTCCACTAAAGCTGATGAGCTCTGTCATTTTCTTTGTGAATATTGTAATCAGAGAGGAAAGTAAAATAAAGTGGGATCTGATTGTGGTTCTGTGAGATTTCATTTTGGATAAATGTGTATCAATTTGTGTGTTTCAGTTTCTGGATTAAGGAATTCCTTTCCTTCCACGTTCCTTCCTTACCTTCCTGGGGTACCTTCCTCCCCCAGGATGTGAAGCCTTCTGTTGAAGGTTTCTTTTTCCTGATAAGAAATTATGTGCTTAACTAAGGTTTTCACTATTCTAAATCAGTTGGACTTTCTTCTCCTTCACTATTGCATAATGTAACCACCACACTACTGATGGCTGCAGCAGGAGATGGGCCAGGATTTTCTTGCTAAATTCTTTGTGTTCTCAGTTTTCTTACCTGTAAAATAGCAATGAATTTTTTTTTTAATTTAATTTTACATTCAGCTAAACTTGTCAAGTTATAGATAAAAGTACACCAGATGAAGTGAGGCACTGCAAGGGGGAAAGAAAAAGTCTACATTTTACAAGAAATGTGATTGTTGCTGATCATTCAGCCAAAACAGCCTGTGCCATAAGTTTTGTTTACCAATGACAACTAAGCATAGCTGTGAACATCAGGCATGCAACGGCATACAGTGTGAGGAATTCTGTCTGGTAATTTAAGTTACCGAGTAAATTGGAGAGACTGTGATTTTATCTCAGACATTCTTTAGATAAAAATAAAAAATAACTGCATAAATTATTCAAGGTGAATTATTTGCTCAGCTTTGGCTGTCACTTAATAAAGTGGCCTCTGCCATTTGCAGTGTAGCTGGTACCTTTTTCACAATGGAGAAATAAATTGCATCTCTAAATTAGTCTGTGTGACTGCTGTACAGCATTACATAACCAAAGGCAAACTATGCTTAATCCTTAAAGAATCCAATTCATATGAAATGTTTTCAAGTTCTGAAATCTAGCTGAAACCTAGCCTTGCAGACTAGCATATAAAAGTGTATTGTGTAGCCCTGGAATTTGGAGTGTATTGTGTACACTTCCATAATATCCTTCCAGATCAGTTCTGTAATACCCAAGAGATAGGTATATTCTCAGTTCAGGCTTCTGTTCTTATCACAAAGCAGTGACTTTGATTTACTTGTATTAACATGAGGACTGAGTTGGAAGAAATTGCACACAGGCCAGCAGTGAAAAAAGGTACAATATTTGTGTCCCCTAAAATTGCCTTTCCCATTAATTTCACTTAGAGACAAACACATAAATCCGTAAATTTTAAAAAAACATTCTTTTCAATGTTTACAGTAAAAATTTAAAGAAATTGATGCGTTTTGTATGACATTTGATTTGTTGGGATTAAAGACATATTTTTGAATTCTATCCAAAATTTCTGCTAAAAGAAAGAAATTACTAGTCTTTATGCAACACAGTCTTTGGATTTCATATTTCAAAGTAACAAAACTAAAAATGTAGAAAATTACCTTTAAGCCAGGTGATTTATTTATTTGTGATTCGTTCCCATACAAATGGGTCAGAAAAGGAAGACATAGCAAGAAAAGCCACCGTATTACTGTGGTTTTCTATGTTAATGTGTAAGTATATGAGTGGGATTATGTAGAAGTGAAGATTAGCTGGTGGGAAGCTGCTTGGGTGAAATATAGTTCTGTTTTCTGTAGTTCATTCTTCAATTTACACCGTTGTTATTGCGTAGGGTGAAGTGCTGACGAACGCTCAGCACTCTGGAAGACAGAGACAAATCACACAGTCCCTGCCCTGAAGAGAACTGAGAGAAGCACAGGTTGGGCATGATTTCCATTAAGAGGCTGTTTTCAACTTGTCTTTGCTTTTAACTTTTCTAAGCCAACCCACTTTGGCTGATGCTGCTTTACCTGAGATTGACATATCTCTTTGAACTACTCTTGCTTAAAAACTTACCCATTTATCCAAATGTGGTTAGAGAACATGGGTTGGTTTGTCACTGTTAAAAACAATCAGCCATTTACATTCACTTCATTTGGCAGCTCTAGTTCCTCTGCTTTGGAGCAGACCTTTCAGGCTGAGCCACTGGCCATCTGAAAATCTGACCTTATTGTGGGTCTTTTGAGAAGTAAACGTGTACTCATGCTCAGGAGAGATTTGCTACATTTTAATTTAACAAATATCTTCTTAAAAGATTCCTCCTGAATTAAATATATTCCAGGCAGGGACCATAAGGTCTGGCTGTAGCTTTCTTTGGAATATGCAGGGGAAAAGGGATTATAGAACAAGCATGAAGTAAGCCTGCATAGCTAGTTGTTGTTTCTTAATTTAGGGAAGCCTGGAGACCTAAACTGTCTTTCAATTAACTTTTTATAGTTTTTTTTTTACACTATGAAGGTACACATTCCTTCGTTTCCTCCAGCTGAGCAGATGACATGCCATTGCTGGGGCTAACAGGATACCTCTCTAGTCCTCCAGCCTTTATAGTCTGGACCTTTTTAATCCCTCCTCACCATTGCTAGAGGAAGTGCTAGTTCTTGTGTTGTTGCAATTGCATGTGTGCATAGATAACTAATTGAAAATTATGGAAAATAATGGCATAGTAGCAAAATTAACTTTTTATTAGTATTTTCTGGAAATACGTGTAAGGACTGGATAGGAGGCCTTGTTTAAAAAAAAAAGGATTTATATTGTGTTAATGTGTATGTAGAAATATCTGAATGACTGAGAAAACCATTTTTGATCTTACTAGAAAATAATCAATTCTAAGTTAGATATGAATGATGTAATTGTATTCGAAGATTGAACAGAAAATCCCTCTTCTCTAGGAAATCTGAATCAAGCAAGTGATTCTTGGACCAAGGTGGGTTCCAACCCTTTCTGCTTGAAATTGGGGTAATCTTTGAAATGTAGGAAAACATTCCAGTAAAATACTCTAGAGAGGAAGGAAAAGACCCTTGAAATTAAGGTGGCAGGCTTTTTGTCTAGATAGCAGTGGGGAAAGCAGTCTTGTCCTTAAATTTTCAGACAGCTGTAAAATTTGTCAATTAATAACTCCCCAAGGGCCTGAGTGAGCAGCAGATCTTCAGTTAAGTGAATTGTTCGGAGTTGGTGAATCTGATGATCCCTGCGGGGGGGTCCTGTGTGTATGGATGCTAAGACTGAAGATTTTTCTTGCAGATTTGAGTAGAGACTGGGAGCCTTTAAGCCTTTTTTTAGCAATTAAAAATCAAAGCCTTGAAAACCACTGTGATCTTCAGAGCTGAGCAATGGATGAGAAAAATAACATTTACTAGAAGGTTTAGTTAAAAAGAATAAAACACCCCCCCCAACAGTTTATCCCAAGAGTAAAGCAGTTTATCCGAAGTGTTGCATCCCAGCTGTTGTGCATTTATTATGTTCTTGCCTTCT